TGCTCAGCACTGATAATAATATTAATATATCAGTTGGAAACTGGAAAAAGACGATGTAGTTTTTCTATAAAATGGAATACTACTCAGCCATAAAGAATGATAAATTAGATTCATTCATAGGAAAATGGATACATATTGAGGAGATACTCCTAAGTGAAATAAATAAGTCACACATGTGTAAATACCGAATAGTTTCCTCTGGTGTGAAAAACTATAATAGTACATAAGATCCTAATGAGATAATTGACAATGTGAAATAGGAAGAAAGGGGCTAAAGGTGTAGGGAAAGTGGGAAGAGTAGGGGAAAGGTAATAAGGGAAAAGAAAAAAATATGAGAACATGAAAAAAATGGAAATAAAGTATTTGTAAATGGGGAGGGGAGGAGGGGGTGAAGGGAGGGCAGGGACAAGGGGAAAAAATGAGAACCAAGACCTGTCATGTAGAGGTACAAGATCCCAATGATGAATGTGTCTGTACTGTATACCTAAAATGTACCAATAAACTCAAATAATAATAATAATTAATAATAATAATAATATACTGCTGTTCACTGTGAAGTGACTTATACTCACACCCTCACCCAGACTGCATGGCTATTAGCTCCAGAGCTATTTCTAGATCCCAAGTTCTACAATCTGCCTCCCCTAATCATTCTTTTGTTTTCTTTTTCTTGGTTCCAGGGATTGAACTCGGGGCCTTGTGGCTTGACAGGCAGGCGGCAGCACCACTGTGCTAAATCCCCGGTCTTAAGCATTCTTTCTACAAACAGTTCCTGTGCTGCCTTACTTAGCTCAACAAAAAGAAACAATTTTAACCGAAATGAGAAGAACCCAACAGCACTGGGGAGAAATTCACAGAGGACAAGTACCCCCAACTCTGACCCCCTCCTCACACTACTTCTAGGGGTTTCCCAAGCAACAAAGTCAAAAATGGAATTGTGTTCCATTACATTTTTCTGTCAACTGGTTGACTTTTTGAATCGAGACACAACACAGACTGGGCCACATGGGTCCCTAATGATCCCCAGGTTACCTTGGACTCGATGTGCTCTGCCGTGGAAGACAGAGTCAGGGGCCACCTGCCTGCTCTCTCTCCATCTCTCAGTGTCCACCCAAGAGAGGGGCTTGAACAAGAACGCCCATCATGTGCGGTTTGCAACAAGGAGAAACTGAAAACAGCCTAAACCTTCAACAGTGGGAACATGGCTAAGTCACAAAGCACCTGTATTGTGGAAAACCAGGGCTATATCCCAAAATGGGGGAAATATACCTAGAAATTAGACAGAGACCAAATGTCGGGAGGGGAAAAACAAGGTGTGGTACAGTGTCACTAGTATTGTATTTTTATGGACACACAGTGTCACAAAACAATGCTGTGTCCAGTCACAATGACATACCATGCAGGCAATGGGGACCCAGAAGACCCTGGGGCCTGGTGACGTCGGAGGGAGTCGCATTACTTTGTGTAACTACTCTGTGCACCATGCAAGGCTTGCAGAACAATGCAATCACCTAAGGATGCAATTAAATTTAATGACATTAAATGCCACATGACTGCATTAACAGACATATGCATAAAAAACAAATCCAGAGCCAGGCACAGTGGTGCATGCCTGAAATCCCAGCACTCTGGGAGGCTGGGGCAGGAGGACTGCAAGCCTGAACCCAGCCTGGACAACTTAGCTATCTCAAAATAAAAAATAGAAATGGGCTGAGGGTGTAGCTCAGTAACAAAGGCCTTGGGTCCAATGCCCAGTGTCACAAAATATCTAACATAGGACAGATTATGTCAGAGGCACGGGGAGGGGCTGAGATCAAAAGGAACCTTCACTCTATTAGTAAATCTTAAACTTTTGATGAAAATATATTTCTGTATGACTTGTGTGATTAAAATCACACAAATTATATTCCTCCCCCAAAGGGTTCTGAAAGAATGGCCTAACCAAAGTATTCCAGAGCTATTTCTAGAGCCCAAATTCTAGAATCTGCCTCCTGATCTAAGAGCTCCTCCCACTATAGTTCATTCCCCATCTTGACCTTGAAACCAATAAAAAAATCCCACTCTCCTTCTGGAGAGAGAAGAAAGAAGGCAGCTTCCAGACCCCAGAGAGAAGAGGATGTTTTGTGCACTAAATGTTACATGGTCAAATCCCAACAAGGTTAGCAGAGGCAATTAAATCCAAAGCTGTCTACTGACAGCAACACACAAATTAGCTTCTGCCTCAGCTTTGGAAAACTGATTTCGTTACATTGAAGAATTCAGCAGGGGGTTTAGTGTCTTTTAAAGAATAAAAAAGGGTTCGGTTCAAAGCAAGACAAAACTCTTTTCTGGAGTAACTTTATGATTACACTTCAAGGACAACACTTCCAAACCCAGTGCTTGACAGGGACGAGCTGGGAGGAAGGAAGATGTTTAAAAGAGGTACCCAGTCAAAATCTGCAGGAGACCTCATGGGAGGAAAAGAGAAAGATCAAAAGTCTCAAAAGTTTACTATAAGTTATCATAGAGCTAACATTGAGGTATTCAATCAAGAAACATTGAGTATGGCCTGGCACGGGGCTGCACGGCTCTAATTCCAGCTACTCAGGAGACTGAGGCAGAAGGATCACAAGTTTACAACTTAATGAGATGCTGCCTCAAAATAAAATTTAAAAAGAGCTGGGGATGTGGCTCAGTGTGAAGACCCTGGGTTCAATCCCCAGGGAAGGAAGGAAGGAAAAAGAGAGGAAGGGAGAGGGGAAGGCAGGAAGGAAGAAAGAAAGAAAGAAAAAGAGGGAGGCAGGAGACAGAAAGAGAACAAAGGAAGAAAGAAAGACAAAAAGGAAAAAAAAGGAAGGGAGGCTTGAGAACTGACCATGCCAAGGCCGGTGGACGGGGAGTATAGGGCAAGGGGTTTCTATTTTAAGTAGTGTGAGTGGTCAGCAAAGGTCTCCCTGAAAATGTTACAGTGAGCAAGCACCAAAACGCGGGTGTGAAAGAGCAGGTTCAGCAGATCTCTAGGGCCAGTTCATTCCGGGCAGTGGGGAGCATGTGCAAAAGTCCTGAGGTAGGGACATAACCAGCGTATGTTTTTAGGAGCTGTGAGAGGATACTGTGGCTCAAGCAGAGAGAATCAGGGAAGAATCTCAAAGAGATAAGATGCATGAGAAAGCCAGGAGCCAAGTGACACAGAACTGTGAAGGCCACTACACTGACTTGGCCTTTTACCCTGAGAGATGGGAGCCAGGGAAGACTTTAGAGAGCCGGAATGATGTGAACATCACTGAATGCTCTGATGGGGAGCAGGGAAAGTGGGGGAACCAGTCAAGTGGCCACTGGAAGTATCCTGGCTTATCAAGTGACTGTGTGCTGACCTGGCTTAGCACCTATTTCCCCTTTGCTACACTGAGCTATACACTCGACTTCGTTACCCTAACAGTCACCATTTTCTCACACACAATTCAGTGAATTCTGATATATTTGCAAGATCATTCAACCATCACATTATCTCATTCCACAGCATTTTGTCACCCCAAAAAGAAACCCCATCCCCACTTGCAGCGTCCCCCCCGTCTCTGCCCAGCCCCTGACCCTGGGAGTATTTCCTACATGCATGGCCTTCCATGTCCATCTGTGGCAGGGCCATGCTCCTTCTGCCAGGAGCCCCGAGAGGAGGTGCTGTAACCTCCATGTGCAGCAGAGGAGACCACGGCCCCGTGAAGGACAAAGCCGAGTGGAACGGCTGGCTGTGGCCCCAGGTCTGACCCCACCGCTGCTGGCCGCTTGTCCACCTCGTTTACTGCTTTACTTGATGGGGAGAAAAGCCCTTACCCAGATTCTCCTTTGCCAGGCTGGGGAAACTGAGGCCCTTCTCACAGTCAATATTTAAAGAAGCTTGCCTTTCTTCTGGAAATTTGGGCATAAAAGAGTAATCACACACACACACACACACACACACACACACGCACATACACAATTGAAACATCACTTTTTTCTTTGCCACTTTCATGATCAACATCTTTTGACTCCCCACAGATCGGCTCCTCCCTGAGCAGCTGGAACCAGGCAGACAAGCAGCAGGGGTGTTTGATGAATGGAGAACTCTTAGTGAATACAGAGTCTTCTGAAAAAGGTGACTTCTGTCTCTCAAATAAGCAGCTGAAAATTTCCTTAAAGGGCAAACCAAAGTCTCTTTCTGGCTCAGATAAGTCTCCGGTGCCAGCTTGTTCCTAATGGCCTGAAGGTTTTGCATGAAATCCTCTTAACAGATCAGTATCAGTCAGACACCTACCAAGGAAACAGACCCCACACTAAGCAGTTCAAACAGATAAAATGTAATGCTGAAATGGGTTGTCTGGGGGATGAGAAAGGTCAAGGAGCCAAGAAGGAATGGTGAGGTAACCCAGAGATAAAGCACAGCAAAAAGGGACAACTGTCCACAAGTCTGGACAAACAGATGGAAGAGGAGGAAGGGAACAATTAAGAAATCAGAGTCACTAGGCAAAGGCTAGAACTGAAGGAATGATGTGGCCACCACAAAGAAAGTTTCTCAAAGGAGAAGTAGGGAAGGCAGAGAGAGTGGGGGACCTAGGGGCAACCCAGGCTCTGCTTCCTCCTATCCACAAGGGCCCTTCATGTTCTCCCATAAGCCTCCCCAAGCAGAAGTAAGGGAGCTGGGAAATACAGCCCATTGGGTTCCATCCCCTCCCAGGATAAGAGGACCGGGAAAGGACAGCAGCAGATCTGAGAGCAGCACAAGTTCAACACATTTGCTTCACTCACTCCGTCCATGACCCCTGGTGAACACTCACCACGTTCTAGGCACTGTGCCAGGTGCCCGAGCCTACAATACTAACAAAACATAGCCATTGCCCTTGAGGGACTTATGCACAATTGTGTGAATTGAGGCGGCATGCGACTCTCGGCCTATGGTTTCCCAGGGGGTGAACACGTGACCCAAATCAGTTCAATCAGCACATTCCGTCTTCCTGGCCACCGTGATTGGCTTGAGGAGGGGCGCATAACTGAAAGTGAGCCAATGGGAGGCAAGCCCGGACTCTCAGGAATCTTAAAGGAAAAGGAGCTTTCCTTCTCCTGGTGTTGCTACAAGTGGAAGTACGACTGAACTACTGAGAGCCATCTTGCCACTGGCAAAGGCAAAAGTGAAGCCAACACAAAGGGAAATTTATCTGCAAGAAAGAGAAAGTCTGGAGACCATTTGAGTCCCTCCATCCAGCCTTACCTGAAGCCAATACCACTAGATCCTTCATTTATTTGAACACATATATATTTGTTCGGCTTTTTAGCGTTGGTGGTTTCTGTCATGTGCAGTTTAAAAGTCTGACTGATGAGATGGAGACAGAGAGGACAGGGCTTTCCGAAAATGGGAAAGGGGTGTGTTCAAAGCTGCACTGGAAGTTTGATGGGCCTAGAGGGCACGCTATTGTAAAGAGGCGCAGGAGAGGAGTCTGGAAAGGCAGATGTGGATTGAAAGGGCCGTCAGCCCTCAGCAGCAAAGGCTGAGCTTCCTCCTGAGCTTCTGGAATTTTCTATTTTTACATCAAATAATCAACTTGGAACGCGGGGTGAGGTCACAGTGGCCTTGTATTTGGCATCTTTTTTTCCTTGCAGAAGCCTTTCGCAAATGTCCCCAGAAGAATCAGCTGCTCATTGGTTCTTGCGTCACCTGTCACATCGTGTGTGCGTGTCCTGGTGTCTCCGATGGACGATGAGGTGCTTGAGGGCAGGAGCCATTTGTGTCCCCAGAGCCTCGGTCCCGGCCTGGCCTTCTGAAAGCAGATGCTCATAACCAAGTGAAGGCTGCACTGAGCGGACATGATAATTACAGCTTCACAAATGTGTTTTCTCTCAACAGCCAGGCAGCAACTTGTCTCGGAGCAGAAACACATCGCACTGGATTTGGTATTCTCTGACCATGCCTAGCAGAGAGGTGAATGCTAATTTAATTTAATTTAATTTCGTACTTGTTATTGAATGCTTACAGCGTGCTGGGGGCTGTGATATGGGCTTCCCATATACCGTCGCATTTATCTCTGTCCTACACTCGACAAGGCAGCTGTTAACCCCATCTTACAGGACACTGAAGCTCAAAGAGGCTACTCAGCTTGCCCAAGGCCACACAACTAGTAAACACTGGAGCCTGCAGCGGCTGTCATGTCTGATTGGTCACCATCATAATAAAGAGGAGTGGTCACCAGGGAGGTAACAACACCCCCTTTGACACCTCAAAATTGCGTGGGGCTCCAGGTGTCCCGTTCCATCTTATTAACCGTGGCAGAGCCTAGAAGTCTGAGCCTAACTGGCTGCAGAGGCTGAGGGACTCGGGCTGCTGGTCCAGCCCAGTGTGACTCAGCCTCTGGGAACATGTGGCTTTAAATAGCTCTCTTCTCGGAGGCTCTCGGCTGATGGATGGCCGACCCACGGAGGGAGGGTTGGACGGAGGCAGCCAGGCGACGTGCCCTGGGATGTGCTGAGTGCTGCCCGGAGCAGAGCAGGGGACATTCAGGAGTGAGCACTGAGCTGCAGGGACTGTGATGTCTCTGGGAAACTGGGCGAGTGGCCAGGAAGACCCCACCAGACAGCGCCTTCTACCCTGATGCTGAGGGTCTGAGGTCCCCATTTGTCCACACCCAGCCTTGCACCTTGGCCCTTTGGGAGTTAGAACCACGTCCCTCCTCTCCTCCCAGCTCTGTGAAGCAGCCACCATAGGAGGAGGAGCAGGGCTGGGAGACCCGTGTTCGAATCCAGAGAGCCGCCCAGCCTCAGACAAGCCCTTCACGCTCCGCGCGCTCATCCGGCAAGCGATACTCTGATTACAAATGCGCAACAGGAGATGCAAGACAGCCTGGCCGAGGGTCAGCGCGTGATCCATAGCCGGGACCAAATGCATGCTCGTTCCTCTGGGGTCAGGGACAACTGTCGTGTGCTGACACGGAGCCAACCCCAAGCCGGGCACAGGGAGTGAGCTGCTGACTGCGAGCTTTGAGTGGCAACTGAGATAGGCACGTGAGCCTTGATGGTCACAGGACAACTCAGAAAGGACTCACACACACGTGGATGGAGAATTAAAGATTCAGTTTGTACTCTATGCTATTTGTAGTTTTTGAGTTATTTCAACACTGAACTGATAACCACCGTATACAGATTGATGGGGCACAGTGGGATGTTCCCATCTATGCTCACACTGCAGAATAGTTAGGCTGAGCTCATGAAAGTATCCATCGTCTCACCTGCTTATGATATTTGTGGGTAAGAAACTTGAAATCCACTCTTAGCATTTTCGAAAATATACTCTGTTAACCACTTCGGTCACCATGCTGGTAACAGGCGGCTGGAACTTATTCTTTGTGTCTGACTGGAAGTTTGTCCTCTTTACCAGCGCCTGCCCGGTGTGGCTTTGGTGGCATCTGCACCACTGAATTCTTTTAAAACTCTTTCTCGAGGGTGACACAGAGGGTGACCAGTACAAAGCAAGGCGGGGCTGTGGAGAGTGCTGAAAACACCTGGGGCACGAATGAACGCTCCGGGTCCCTTTCCAGTGAGGCAGCTGGGCGGTGGTCAGCAGCCCCGGACTCCCCGAGTGCAGGTTTCTGCCTGTGACCCACAGGGTCTGTTCACGCGTGGGAAGCACCGTGTTCCCATCCCGGGTTGGTACGCAGGTTACACACAGAAAGGACAGCACGCTGTTGTCCTCAAGGCACCCACTGTTATTAATACTCCCTTACATGCGTAACATAGAAGAGGGGGCCTAGAGCAAGTCAGTGAGACTACTTCTTTTGTTAAGGCATTTTCCTGAATTATTCATTTATTACTGGCTTATTTTTGCAGTGCTGGTGGCCGAGCCCAAAGCCTTCACACTGAGCTCCATCTCCAGCCCTTTTTTAAATTTTGAGACACGGTCTGGCTAAGTCCCAATGTTGCCAAGCTGGGCCTGGACTCCTGATCCTCATGCTTCAGCCTCCCAGAGTACTGGGATTATAGGTGTGTGCCACCAAGCCCAGCTTCTTGACAGCCTTTCTTGTGACTTTGGGTCACCTGATCGCCGGAGCCTAGCAGACTGGGTTGAAAGCCACCTTCGTCATTTACCATCTTGGACAAGCGATTTCACACATTCAAATTCTCTTCCGTGGGTAAAACAGTGGTAGCCACATTCCACAGAGCCATACTTCCTGAGAACTAAGTGATATAACATATGTGAAACCTTCAGCATAGTGTTGTCACATAGTAAGTGCTCAATAAATGGGGTCTGGCATTCAAACCCTATTTGTAGATTTACCTCAAGCCATTCTGCCTTTAGAAGCCAGATGTCATATGTACAGTGTGCAAGCCATATCCCTCCTCCCACTGGAAATGGGCTTCCTTCCTGTATTAGCAGGGCTCCCTAGAAAACATAGGCTGGGCAAAAGCATTGCGAACTGACCTGAGTTGGAGAACATGACTCAGGGAGGCCAAGCAGAGAAGGGGAAGGAAGACAGTGCAAGTGACCTCTGGAGCAGCTGCAGCTTTGATGGTTGCTTGGGGTCCTGGGAGTCTTCAGAGTGGCTGCGCCTCTGCTCCATTCCTCTGGGGCAGGAACAATCTACCTCAAGTTTTTCATCTGTTAATCCAATGTTCCCCCAATTGGGTGTCACCTCCCCTACCCTTCTGATTTTCCTATGGGAGGATAGCAACTGGATCCCACAATGTCCTGTACCTGGATGGAACAGGAAAATTCCCAGGCAGGGAGACAGGTACACGGCTCTGGTGCCACCATGAGAATTACAGTAGTGGGGATGGCGGCACCAACCATCTTCCCTAAGACCATGTAAACAGATAGGAAACCCTAGCCATGCCAAGTCTGTTCTTGCTTCTGCCAGACTTTATTGGAGCCACTGAGCCATAGCATTCATTTTATTTCATTCCTTTGATTACCTGTCAAATATGTATTAAGAAAACAATAAAAAAAAAACCCCAATCTAATGGAAAGGTGGCCAAAGGCTGTGGAAAGGAAAACACCAACAGCTCCTTGAAAAGATTCTTAATCTCTCATAAATAAGAGAAAGTCAAACTAAAGTGACACTGAAGTATCATTTTCCCCCTATCAGTTTATGTGCTAATCAGTTTGTGCCGCTGTGACACCTGAGAAAAACAACTGGAAGTGGGAGAGGCAGGTTTTGGCTCATGGCTTCAGAGGTCTCAGTCCATGGTCAGCCAGATCCGCTGCTTTCAAGGTGTGGTGAGGCAGGGCATCGTGGCAGGAGGGTGTGCTGGGGGAAAGCTGCTCACCTCACAGCAGCCGGGGGTGGAGGACCAGATAGAATCCCCCAGGCCACATCCCCACAATCCACTCCCTCAAGGAGGTGCACCTGCTTCTGTTACTGTCTAGTTGTCATCAAATTGCGATCATTAGTAAATTAATCCATAGATAAAGTTAGAGCCCTTACGATCCAAGCACCTTCCAAAAACCCCACCTTGAACACATGAGCTCTTGGTGGGGGAGTGTGTTTTAGATCTAAACCATACCAGACAAAATATTAACAAGGTTTATAACACACTGTGCCAGCAAGGCTGTGGCAATGAAGTATTCTGAAACGCTCCCTAGGAGTGCTCTTGTGGAACTAATCAGGCAAGATCTATCAAAGTTAGGAAAGCACATATTCTTGACATAGCAATTACATTTCTGAGAAATTTATCCTACAAAGATGTCTGGACTTGTGCAAAATGATTTATGGACAAGATTATTTACTACAAAATTATGAGCTAAACACTGGAAACAACCTGTATGCCTCTGAGTAGGAGATAAGTATATGCAAACAATGACGGTCTATACTGTTAAAAAAATAAACAACAATAACAGAATGAGGAGCTGAATGTGATGGCACACACCTGTGAACCCAGTGCTCTGGGAGGCTGAGGCAGGAGCATCACAAGTTCAAGCTTAGCCCCGGCAACTCAGTGACTTAGGTCCTGTCTCAAATGTTTAAAAGTAGAACGAGGTGCCCTATACAGAAAGAGTTCCGTGATACACTGGCAAATAACAAGGCACAGGGATATGTTCTTCCCATGACAATTCTGCCTAAAATACCACCCCAAAACTTCAACTGGTTGTCAGCCAATCTCACATTGGTGGATCTGAGTGCTGGTTGGGGCTCAGCAGAGTAGCTCTGCTCCAAGCTGCAGCTACAGGTCCCATGTTGAGTCTAGGGCACACTGAAGGGCCAGGCAGAGGGATGATGTCAGTCAGGGAGACTCCCCATCCTGGGGTAGGCAGCTGTAGAGCACAGCACCCCTCACACACACATTGCAGGACAAGCCCACATCTGGCTAGCTAACATGCCATTGGCCAAAGCAGTCACGTGACCGAGTCCCAGGAAGAACGCTCCACCCGCCGTGAGCCTGAGCAAGATGTGGGCGCATCAGACCTCAGAGCAGAGTGTGTGCATGCTTATGTGTGTACACATGTTTGTTTGGTACCGGGGATCTAACTCAGGCCCTTGCACTTGCGAGGCAGGCGGCGGAACCACTGAGCTAAATCCCCAGCCTGACACGTGTTATACTCATCTTTGCAGAAAGATGTCCTAGAAGAGACTGTGGTAATGACTGTCCCGTATTGGGGCCAGGAGAAGTGAGGACCAGGTAGACAGAGGATGATGAGGGAAGACGTTTCCTGTCTACCTTTTGATACTTTAAAAATCTGGAATAATGGTAATAATATAACCAACAGCATGCACTGAGCACCTACTAAGCGCCAGCCACCAGGCTATGTGTTGGGGGTAAAGCTCTAAGTAGGGGCTTTGCTGCCCCTCTATGCACTAATGGTGCAGCTGAATGTCTTTCCAATCCGGGTCGCCACCAGAAGCCCCCAGGGAAGCTCTGCAAAACACACTGATGTCCAGCTTCACTCCCAGAGTTGGGAGTGTAATTAATTTGGGGAAGAACCAGGCACTGACATTTTTAAAGCATCCCAGTCGATATTAGTGTGAAGCCAGGGCTGAGAATAACTAGTCTAGTAAAAGGGGGCAGATTTAAATAATGGCACAAGCAGTTGGCTTGTGCTTGTATTAGGAATGCCAAAGAAAAAATATAGGGAGAGATTTCTTATGGTGCTAAAAAAAAAAAGCTTCACTATTTTGAGTAGCTAGATTCTTGCCTCTCTGTTATTAAGAGGTATAAAATATTACATATCTCCCTTTTCACTTTGGCAGCCAGGAAGCTCAATACCAAATGTCAAGCTCACTCAAAGCATCTACTCGAATCCAGATTGCCTACACATACGGGTTTCTTCCTGAACTGAATTTCCGCCCTGATTTAATTTTCTGTTGATCCAGAATCTCTACTTCTATTTTGTCCTTGGTTTGTGTTCTTACAAGGTACTTCAAATCAAACCTTTTATGATGTGGAGGAATTATATCATCAATATAATACCAGTGAAGCCTTCTGTTTACTGGCCTGGAATTTATGATGTTCCGGGCAGTTATTAAAAGCAAAACACAAGAGAGATATCACGGTGTTCATTTTGCAGATGATAAATTGAGGCTCAGAGAGGTCAACAACTTGTAAGAATCCCACAGCAGAGAGCAGACAGTCTGCTGTGCTAGTTCACTATGACTGGTGTCACCAACTGCCACCAACTTGGTGGCTTAGAACAGTCTTGTTACAGCTCTGGGGGTCCACAGTCCAGACCGAGGGGCAGGGCTGCGATCCTCCGCCAGGGATGTAGGGCAACTCCTTTCTTTGCTGTCCCAGCTTCTGAAGCCCTCCCTCCTCAGCACAGGCAGCACATGACCCTGCCCTCTGTTCCTGCTGTCGCCTCTCCTCCTACCACTCTGACCCTCCTGCCTCCCTGCGTAGGGACCACTGCTATTCCTTGCTTTCCAACCTAAGGCTCCACGATGATCCTCCCACCTTGACACCTTTAATTTTGTGAGGTCGCCTTTGCCAGGCAGGGGACAGTGATCCCAGTTTCCAGGAATGAGGATGGAGCTATCACTGGAGGGTCATTACTCAGCTGACCACAGCTGGGATTCAAATCCAGGTCTCTGAGTTACACACACACATCTTTTCACTATCTTTTGCTTTC